TATATATATATATATATATATATATATATATATATGTATACATATACATATATATATATATATATATATATATGTATACATCGTATGTATAGTGTGTATTTGGCCAGCGCATGTCATGTCTGATGAGTAATTTCACATTTCCTTTTATTATGTTTTCAATGCGAGAGGATTCGAATTAGTTCATGGTCTGATAACACGTGGCAATGGAAAAACGCTGGCGTGAGCCATCAAGATTGATTGATACTGTCACGTGAAGACGGCATGAGGAGGCCGGTGTAATGCGCCAGTGTTAATCGGCATCGATCAAGTTGGTAACAGCAGTATTGCGTAGGCGATGTTTGTGCTTTGCTCGCGCATACATTGCTGCTGACGGTGCGCAGTGAACAGACATGTTTTCATAGGATCGTCTATTGGTCAACTTTGGTTGCGGCTGGCCGGTTTTTGAGTTGACGACTAGCCAGCCCGGCACCGGTGAGTAGCCGGCCAACAAATTTGTAATGAACTGTTGGCTAATTGCTAATGTAAAGCACCAGACTTGGTTTTACTTCAGGATTTGAAGTACAGAATGACCCATCTCTCGGTACCCCATGTTTTACACTTAGTCAGATTCATCGATATGATACGAAAATTCCAGACATAAAACAAAAATTCCAAGATATTGGTAAGCACCCAAGATTTGACATGGCCTGTGACGGTGACGTTTTTCACTCCTTACAGGATTTTCTCGGTTGCAAATGTCAATTTTTAGGTCAGAGTTAAAGTTGGGCTGTACATGTTTTCACCATACGTAAAACATCACGCGCTAATTTAAAGATAAATAACACGCGCCTGGGTGGGAAGGTCAAATTGACCCCCTCCCCCTTCCCAGGTTTTCTCAGGATGGTTTCCGAATGACGCGGCTACGCCGCGCACAATTTTGCATACCTGTAAACAATTGAATAGCGGACCGTGTGGTAACAAAAAGAACTAGGCATACCTTGTGATGTCGCTGACCTATGGCAGGTCAAAGGCAGGCCATGGATTTAGCGATGCGGATTTCTAGGGAATCGTTCAATCTGATGGAACAACAGAGTGTTAGGTGAAGCCATAAATATTTGATATGCTTTCTTAGGCAACTCAACAATTGAATGCCTAATTCCAGTGACCAAGGGTCAGGTATGACGGTCAGACCAAGGTCAAAACCAGCCTGTTTTATTACTCTAAGGCTCACTGAATTACTTGATACCAGCAACTGCATTAGACATGTTCCAAGGACTTCTCAGAGATCATTATAGGTCATTGACCCTAGATGACACGGGACAACATGTCGTTTTGGGAACATACTGTATTGCGTAATGTTTGCGGCTTATCCACATGCAAAACTCAAGGCTGTCTTATATGATTTCGATCACCATGAGCTTCGAAAGGCCAACCAAGGTCACCGACTTTAAATGAACATGCAACCTTTTGCTTAGAATAGGTATCTAGCGTCCGGAAACATTTTGGGGAACTAACTTTTTTGAAACTAGGGGTTTGACGTTGTTTGACCTCATTTGACCCGAAGGTCATGACCTAGGAGCCCCAAGCTTTGACCTAAGCTAGTTCACATAGACCAATACACGCTGTAAATTTGGTATTTCTAGCCTTCTTAGTTCCGGAGGTCTCAGCGGGGTCAAATTGACCCCCACCCCACCCGAGCGAAGGGTATCCAACCGGCCATCCGGGCGCGTGACAAAACAGAACGGGTTATAATCAATTAAGCACTTGTTGGAATCTCGAATTGTATCCGAATGGTTGACGGAGTAAATTTACGCCCTTTTAGTGCATGGTACGAATATGTGCGCTTGTCGTTTTCAACAACTCTCCAACCTCCCCACGAACGGCTCGCCGATCGTTCAGCTGCTAGCTGGAAACCGTGCGCTGATCCGAGTAAACGTCACGAGGTTTTGGATTTGAGGAAAAAAATGACCCAGCTGTATGTTAAGTAATCTGCGTAGCTTTAGGCAAGTCAGCGTGCAAAAGTTTGTGATCGTAAAGGTGAGTATGGTAAATGGGATGAGATGATGCCGATGATGTGACAAAGGTGAGGTGTTATGACAAAAAAGATGACCTAATGACCACCAACTGCCACCATTAGTTCGGAAAAGTGTGTGTTGGTATTCGATGAGCCAAACTTTATTATACTTGAAGCGCGCCAGACTCGTTTATACATGGCCTCAAGCTCCGTGCCGTCCACCCTGCCCGAGTGGCTGTCACTGGAGCGACTCCAGCCGACGGCCGGTGTCGCCCGGCAGCCGCGACGCCAGCCGGCGGCGGCGGCGGCGGCGCAGCGGCAGGCGGCTCCCGGCGGACCGCAGCTCCGACTGAGTTATGCTCGGGCCGGGCCGGGCCGGGGTCGCGCCGACGCCGCTGGCGCCTCGCCCGGCTCTCAGATTGATTGGCCGGGTCACACAGGTCCCGAATGGGTCACTGCCGGGTCAGCCGGGTCCGGCGTACAGGTCAACACGGGTGAGGTTGTCATTCCCGTAGCCAACCTACCCCTGTTAGGTGTTCATACCTGTGCCCATCCACCACCTGTGCAGTGATGGTCCCACCCGCCCATATGGCGGGGCGTTTGCCGTCTCCTCAATTAGACGAAAGCAGATGGATGCATAGAAGAGCATTTCAGAGATTACGCGTCCATATGTAAGTTCTGTTATTCTGAGATTCACCTGTTCGTAATTACACCAAGATCAAGTTCGCGTGAGGTGCCACCAGCTGACAATTATGCATAGACTGCAGCTCTCCAAACATGACACGACGCAGCAACAGCGGAAACCGGCCCTTGATAGATCATGCGCTATCAACATGTCATCCATATTGCATAAGCTGGTACGCCTGCCTTTATCATTCACCACAGGTTACAGGGTGCCACCCAAACCTGGCAACACGTGGGTAGGCCAAGCATATGAACACTTCGCGTTCACGTGCTTGTTATACGTACATATTCACATCGCCTGTTTCGCAGATTCACATACAACTAAGCACGAGCAAATAAGTTGTCATTTCGCAGCTATATGAACCCGTGTGATTCTGCACTATTTTGAAAACGGGAGCGAAGACGTCTAAAAACATTTCATAATGGCAGGAACCTAATCCGCAGGTCCATACTGCGCATTCCATTGACACGAACAGTCCTCGCGAACACTTGTAAAAAACACGGATGCGTGACGCAAAAAAAGAAAAGACTTTTTACATCTAGTGCTAAGCCTACACCAGCAGTACGTGGGAGTTCTGGTGGAAAAATTTTACTTTACCTTGCACAAGCTGTTTCTGGTTTGTGTTCTCTGTCGCAGCACATATATGTACCAGCGGGCGATGGCCATGTAGTGTTGGATAGTATCAACAGTGTTTGCAATATTGCCGAATTCGAAGCGTTCACTCCGTCGCATTTGTAAGCTTTCTTTGCTCCTGTGGTGATCTGTGACGATATTATTGATTGCGTTACCCCAGGTAACGACAGGCTACTAGGATTCACTGGATTGTACCTAAATATGTATGCATGTCTTAGGTCATGTCACAAAATGTCTCAATTTTGTTGGTACTTAGCTGGTAATTGTGTTGCGTATTATGTTGGCAAAGGGTCTATGTTACAGGATGTGTATTTTGTGGGGTTGATTGGAAGGTGCTAGTCAATTTTTTTGCAAATATGTCGGTATTACAACCTGTGATATACGTGCTTAATACCAGCTGTGATTTTGCGGATCACATTTTGTGTATTTAGAGGTGCACTGGGCCGGATTAGTATACCATGAGAACTGTGAAGATCAACTCCCATTTCTCACGTGCTTGTCAGAATTTTGAAAAAGCAGAATTATTGGCTGCTCATTACATTGCGATCTGTCTTGACGCCTTCTGTTACATGGCTGATGGCTTCAGGTGAGTAGGGGGAGGGCGGGGAGGCGGAGTTCAGTGAGAAGGCATTACGCCTATTTTAGCTTTCTGTCATAAGCCATCAATGATGAATAAAGGCGAAATGCGGGGTTACGGGGAGGGGTGCTCCGTGCACTGTGCTTGTGGTATGTTACCTAGCTGCCTACCTTAACATTTATCACGCATGCTTGTATCGAACGCGTAAAATGGCAAGGCTTTTATTAGTGCATTGGTCTGCCTTGTCCTGCACTGCTGGTTTCAGTATCCACTACAGTCCTACCATGGCAAATTTTGCTGCTAAAAACGTCAGGGCATTTTGCAATGGTGGCGTCCGTGTCCCCACTCGTATTTGATACAAGTTGAATCCGTGATCATGTCCGTAACCGTGTGAAAAGCGTTCTATCCGTGGTCTTGCCCATTTAGCATGCGTAGCCGTGACCTTGCCTGGCCCGTGATGGCCTCCGTCCCTGCGGGCGCGTGCGTTCATACCGGTGGCCACGGTGGCATTTGATCGCGAGTGCTCTCACTGAGCCAGGCTCCGATGAGCTGAATGGGTGAGGACGTGACAGCTGGGAAGTTCATTGATGTTGTTGAAAAGCCTTGATCAACATGTAAGCAGGTTTGTTGGGTGACTTGTGCGTGGCACACGACGGTGGCCGTGTAGCTGGGTGCCTGAGCCTGTAGCGAGGTGCTGACACGCCGGAAAGGCCGGACGGCGAACGGCTGAAAGTGAAGTGTGTGCCGGCCGTGGACCTTCGCTCCTTCGCTTTCTGTGCACACGCCTCTCAGCGGGGCATCATCGAGATCTGTCCCGTCGAGCATACTGTCATATGGTCATTATCGCACGGTTTCTTATACTTCATATGTACTCTTTGTCGATGTTACGTAGAGGACATGATATGTGAAGCTGATTTGAAGCTGCGACAGCTTGGGGGTGCGATCAGTTCGAATCTGTCTCCCGTCAGAAACTGTGGGATAAGTGAATGGGGCCAGCCAAGGACCAACGCCGTGGTCAGAAGTCGCCCAAACCAATGATCTTTGCAGCGTTTTGCGGTCTCTCTGCTTTGATGGCTGTGCAGTACTGTTGGAGCTCATTTTCCTGTTCTCAGTCTGCCCGACACAACGTTATGGTTCGAGCCGCCATTTTTCGTGCGTTGGGACGACGAGCGCACGTTCTGGAGCACAGAAGGATTCTACGACTCCAGGTACAACGAGGAGACGTACGTCCTCCAGGTTGGTGGCAGCCTCTCTGTTAGGTTGAGGTCTCAGCTAAAGGTACAGTGGTATCATATTCCAACTCCTGCCGTGGCTGGGGGTGCGATGCCGGGATTTCATAAGCATCGGGAAATGCTAGCTTGTGTTTAGTGCGTTGGAAGCCGGTGACTGCGCCAGCGCCACTCAGAACCTGGTGCCAGCGCTCTTCATGGTCATTAGCTATTTTGTTTTTTGTCTTTGTGCACTACTCTAGCGTCGAATTTGACCAAGATGCCGCGCCATGGCTAAACCAATATTACGTCCGTAATCATGTGTGTAAGTGATGCGCGTTTCAATTGACGAGGTGTCCGGCAGAACATGAGACTCTACCAACCCATTATAGCAAATATGATTACAACGGTACGTGATGCCAATATGGCTTACGGTGCACTCCTCGTGCGATTGGCCTTGTTAGTGAAGGAACAATGGATCATTCAAATCATTTTGGACGCAATGGATCATTTTGGACGCAAGATTCAGATTCAAATCTGCATTACTTCAAACAAAGCTTTGAAATGATTATCATTTAACACCACTAATAGGTGTGAATAAAACCCAAGGCATCCAATTGGATGCATATGTTAAGCCTGACGGCTGAAGCCATGCACCTATTTTTGAATCTGCAGATGTGTTGTGTGACTATAGCATAAAAAATATGAAACCGATATCCTCTCGATGTTTTATTGTTTTTGTTTTTGTTTTTGTGAAGTGGGACTGCGATATGAACTCGAGGGCTCATGGCCTGCTCAGGCTTATAGGTGGAACGCTCAAGGCCCGTAGTATCCCGCTCAGTCTGCTTGGTAGCCTGCCATTGAAATACGGAGAGAAGCCTCGATGATGATTGTGGCGCTATACCACACTGCTTAGCTGTTTGCTCGCTGCGTGTAAAACGACGCAAAGCTCAGTCTTGCCGCCATCATGAGGCACATGTTAGGGTTTTATTAGTGCCGCGGGCGTATGTATGTGGATGTGGATGTGTGTGTGCGTGCGTGTGCGCGTGTCTGGGTGTGTGTGCGTGGGTGCGTGTGTGCGTGTGTGCCTCCCGTCAGCAGCTCATTATGTCAGGTTTCAGTCGTCGCCGCTGCTGTGGGTCCTTGTGTCGGCCTGTCCTTTGCCAGCTGTCATCTCCATGGTGCCCGGCCAGCAGCTGGCTGGGCTGCTGCGAAGGTACGCGTGTGTCGATCGCTCATGGTCAGCAGTCAGCTGGTAACGTCTGGCCTTCAGTCGCGCACGCTCCGTCTGGGACTGTTCGGGCTGCCGCGAAGGTACGCGTGTGTTGACCGCTCATGGTCAGCGGTCAGCTGGTGATGTCTGGACTTCAGTCGCGCACGCTCCGTCTGGGACTGTTCGGGCTGCTCCGAAGGTACACGTGTGTCGATCGCTCATGGTCAGCGGTCAGCTGGTGATGTCTGGACTTCAGTCGCGCACGCTCCGTCTGGGACTGTTCGGGCTGGCGGTGAATCGGTTCTCGAACCTGCCGTACCAGAGCTGGGCCTTCACGCCAACAGGCGTCGCCTCAGCTGAGCTCAGCATCACGGCGGCCGTCGCCACCGTCCACCTGTTGGTGCAGGTAAGACGACGGCCCGGTACGAACAGTTGGCGCAGCGGTCCGCCCCGTCCACTGGCCTGCCAGCCAGTGCGTACGCTTTAAAGGAAGTGGGCCCACTAGTCTAAACACCGACAGAAAATTCCAAACCCAAATGTTTTTTTAACCCTAACAGTTTCCGAATGCATGAAATGCCGTCTCTTCTGCGCTTTGTTTCGGTCCGTAATGCTATGGAGTAAGACGCTGTCGTGATATAAGTACCACTTTGTGACACGTACCTTCCTTAATGAACGTGTTATGAAACAAAACGTCTGCAGCGTTATTCGAGCGTGAATAATGCAATTCTAGCGAGGAGGATGATATCAAACAATTTAGGCTGATATGTGTCAGCTTTGTACGCGTTTGAGTTGAAAACGATCTTTTGTTAGGCCCATTCTATTCAAGTCCGCAGCCACACAAAATGAGGCTGGACTTGGAGGTTTATTCGCGGATTGATAGGTAGATTGATCGCGGGGTTGCAGGACTGTGTTTCGCTGTTTTTGGGGGCGGCCCTTTTCCCAATTTAAGTCATTGTAGCCACCTGTAGAGTACCAATATTAAGATTAAGGCGGTTCCCATGACTGAGCTGAAGAGTAATGAATTGGCTTGGAAAATATTTCGCGACGATGGCAGACCCGTGCTCTGGATCATGGGATCACCTTTATGAATATGTTAGCCAATGCCAAACCAGATGGCTGCGGTTTCGGATCAGGACGCCCTGTTTTGTGATAGCGAAGCTCTTTGGCTGGCCTTGGAGGCCCTGTTTTAGGTTAGACCCTTTGCTGCCTAATAAGAAGCCCTCATCTTGTATTTGTTAACTGTCAGCATTTATTTACTTGGATATGATGCATATAGCATCCTGATAAGGGGCGCATGCTCTCGGTGTCCTTCCTAGTAAATACGGCACTGCGCAGGAGGCCCTTCTGTAAGGAGGCATCATTTAGCCAACAGACCGGTGGAAACTCCTGCTCTGTTTTTTTTTGGGGGGGGGGGGGGTGGGTGGGGAAATCCTGCCCGAACTCAAAGTCTGTGACGCCACCTCTGCGCGGAGGATGTTTCCACATGGCGTCTAGCGCGAAAAGTATAGCAGGAGCACCGCCTTCCGCTATCGACGACTGACACTGACTGCAGCATGAGCGCCGAGCGTCTTGATGCGGCGGGTGGCGCGCCAGGAGTTGGAGGCGCGGGCCGGCCAGGAGCAGCGCTCGGCCGCAGTCGGTCCATCCGTGAAATGTCAGCCGGCGCTCGCGGCCAAACCGGGTTATCGGCCGGTCGCATTGTCGAGTCGTACGCCGCTCGGCTGGTGCTCGGGCCGCCGGGCTCCTTCGCACATGGAGTGACGCGATTTGAGTGCCTCGATGCCCTGGCACCCATGATTTTCTTGATTTTTCCTGTTGGCGTCGATTCTGACCTCAAACTCTCAGGGCGTTGCACTGAATCCTGCCCTGACCCAGGGCGGGGCAGTATTTTGGATGGCCTCCGATTCTGACCGAGGGAATTGTGGTTTCATTCCAACGTCGATGCCGACAGTGAATTCTGTCGCACACTGTATGATACATAAACCGTGTCACGAGCCATGCGTTGAGCACTGCCATGACAACAGATGTCTACCACTTTATTCGCTGCAAATGTAGCGGCTGCCAGGATGATAGTGTATGTTTATATTTTAGTCTGCTCATCAGTAATTCCTGTCGGTACGGTTCACTCGCTCGTCCCCAGTCGATATAGGTGTGCAAAGTGATCGGCTGTACCCTGATAAGACAGAAATATGACCGATTTAGAGTCGGCAAGCACCAGGCCGGCCGGACTGGGGGATTTTGGCGGACGGGATGGTGACTGACGCATATGGAATCATCTGGGATTGACTGCGCGTGGTGCTTGTGTACTCTTTGCGGGTGTCACATGTTTTCCGTCTGGAGAATGAATGCAGCGGCTGTCTTCCAGGACGACCTGGTCAGTCTGATTCAGGTGACGGGCGGCTCTAGCGACTGCCTGGAGGCCTTCTACAAACAGCCCATGAAACCTGAAAAACTAAAACAGGTTGGTGCCATGCCAGTGTCATTGTTCTGTCATAACACACTCCCACGGGTCCGCAATGATCATAACACACCCCCATGCGTAAGTGATGGGCATAACGCAGCCGACACACGGTCATGCTTGTCCTGGTTGGCGTTTCACCTTTAAGTGTCTCGAAGACAACTGGTTAGGCTTCCCTCCGCTGTGTTGCCGACAGAACTAAAAACGAGCGGGGATCATACGAGCCAGCGTGAAGAGCGACGCGTCTGTATCTGGCCTTGGCTCGGGCAGCGTCTGCCGCTGGCACGAAGGAATGGAACTGATGATGTCAGCGTCAGTCCATCACAGCTGTTACTGAGGCATGATGCCAGTACCACTACCATTCGGTCCCAGCTCACTGTACGCACTGTCCGTTGTCTGACAGCGCCGTACCAGTGCCAGTGCATTCAGTTGGCTGCCGTGCTGTGGGGTGATGTGTCGACGCGCCCGTGTTGGTCCACCCCGCGGTGGCGGCAGTGCACCGGCGCGCTGCCACCAAATACACCCCGACCCCAGCGGGCGGCTGGGACCGCGGCCTGACGACGCTGAACTGAAGAGACGCCAGCACGGCGCCGGCGGCCGCCACTGTGACGTGTCCTGGCGTCGTCGGCCAGGTGATGCAGCGCCACGGCCTGGACCTGTTCCCCGAGGAGGACTCGTACCTGTACATCGAGGGCTCGTCACTGAAGCACCAGCCCTGCGAGAAACACCTGTACTGGTGCATGGCGCTGGTCGGCAACGCCTACGGCTTCAGCTCCAGCCGCTGGAATCTGCTGGCAGGCGCCGACAATCTGGTGCTGCAGTTCCGCGAGATGCTCAGCGAACAGCTGCAGGTGTGCATGACACCGCCCGTCGATGTTCGAACGGACGTGTAGCGCCTGGCCATGAGCTGCCAGAAAACCGGAGTTGGTAGAGTGGAATATGCAGGGGGATCCTGGTATTCAGGCCCGGTTTGGGTCACCTTGTAGCGATAAGCGCACAAAGTAACGTGGTGGTCAAATGGACGTGTTAAATCGAATGCATTACCGGGCAGAGGACTATGCGACAATGCTCATTTGTGAAGCCAGACATTTACGTGACGTACGGAAATGGAGCTCAGACGGGACTTGAGCCCAAACTTGAATTCGCACAAACTTTGGCCATTTCTGATTGAGCACTAAGCAGTCTGAAGTGGCTTGCATGTCGGGGAGTTGGCGGCCTGTGTAGCCGCACGCGTGGCCGTGCTCGATGTTGCCACGGCCTGGTCCGGTGCTACAGGGTAACCCGGCGCTGCTGCTCGTGCGACCACGCAAGACCACCATCGTGGAGTGTCTGGAGACCAGCCAAGCGTGGGCGGACGCCGAGGCTCCGGGCATGCCGGTGAGTACCCGGCCGTCGGGCCGACGTTGCCGGCTGGCCAGGCGTCAGTCTGTGTCCCTGAAGACCAGCCAAGCGTGGGCGGACGCCGAGGCTCCAGGGTATGCCGGTGAGTGCCCGACCATCGGCCTGACGTTACCGGCTGGCCAGATGTCAGTATGTGTCCCGATGGGCTCGTGACTTTTCTCCAATGAGCCATTAAGTTCTAGCCGTACTTTAAACCGATTCATACTTGATCATGCACAAAACGCCTTGACTTGAGATTCATATGAGCAAAAAATGCTAAGACGACTACACGAATGGCTGTTCGTGCGACAGGGTAGCCCGGCGCTGCTGTTTGTACGACAAGATAACCCGCAACAAATAGCTGTTTGGCCTGTTTTGCACTTTACCGAGTCTGAGTCAATGTATTTTGTGCATGATCATGGCATTTTGGTATCTACACCCAAGGGAACCGATCTATTTCAGAAAGAAGTCGGATTCGGCCTTGGACTCATTGTAATGGGATGAAGTGGACTTAGACCCAGGTTCAGGCTGAAGATATCAGGACACTGTCGTGATTAAGAAATCTTGGAAATCTAGGACTACGGCCAAACTTGTGTTCTCATTCAAGCTTAGACCATTTGTCACTATGCTCATGAAGAACCAAGCAATGCACAAATTAGTGATATGCCGCCCTAAGTTTCCTCAAAGGTCCGCATAAACCGGTCCAAAGTGGAGGAGACGAAGGAGAAAGCAGCATGTGGGCACCGTTGGCAGATCGATTTATGCGGAAGTTCCCACTTTCTTCCAACACTTGGTGCTGCGAAATTTAAAGCTCAGTTCCATGCAGCAAAGTCGTGGACCTAGACCTTTTAGAATCGTACGCTGTATACATGCGTGCTATGAGCGGTTTTTGAGTGTCACATGGCTCGAAAGCTGGAGCAAAATTAAGATTTTCAGTCTGTACGCCGACATAGGGCGGTGGAATAGCCCATAGATTTACGGCTCAATTTAGCAAAGCTAGGTCTCGGCTGAAAGGTGCATTTGAATTGCGAACCACGTGTTTGGAAAGAGACAGCTTAGTGAAGTATTACGGTACATACGGTATTCGCGAACCCCTTCGGTTGTGTTGGGCTGAGTGGGTCGCGTTCGTTTCGTCGGTTTTGTGTGGGCCTCATACTTGGTTATATGAAATCAATTTAGGCTTGACTGGAAAAGATGCACCTGCCATCGACCAGCACAACTTTATAAAAATACATGTCACCAGTTTGATAGCTGTCCCAATGATCACCGGCAAGACGTCAAGTAAGGCTCTGTCCCGGTGGGTGGAGTTGTGGCTGGGGTGTAGGTCTACGCCGTTACTAGTTTTACCCATGACAATCCCCAGTTCTGATATGCTTATGTCAGGTTCGGTTATGTTACGTTACATTACGTTACGTTACGTTATGTTACGTTACCTTACACCATGCTGCGTCACATAATGAAGCGGTGCGTTGCGTTACTAGGCGTTGCGTAACGTTAGGTTAGATTAAGTGTGAATATCTTTGTCTTTAGTGACCGCGCAAGAAACTGATGAACTCGGACTTTTAAGTCCGAGGTCACAGGAACGGACATCTTCTCAATCCCCTGGGACTCGTTGCGGACTCATAGGCCGTAAAATAGATTGTACCCAGACTCATGTAATGCGGTAAAGGTACACGCAGGACATGGACTCAAGCACTGGGTCCCTGGAATCGGGCCGGAATTCACAGGGCATGGGCTCAGGCACTGGGCTCCAGGAGTGAGGCCGGGATTTAGCCCGCGTCTGCAGCGGGGTGGCCCGACCTGGCCTGGCCGTCACCGGGCCACGTCATGGTGACGCTCTGGCACATCCCAGCTGATTGTTAGTCGGCGCGGGGTGCCATCAGAACCCGACCTGGCCTGGCCGTCACCGGGCCACGTCATGGTGATGCTCTGGCACATCCCAGCTGATTGTTAGTTCGGCGCGGGGTGCCATCAGAATGCATTGAGCATGTTTCGTAACGAAGCAGCCAGTTGTAGAACAGGTGTTAGATCAGCAAGCTAGTAATCATGTGCACAAAGCGTTGTAGTTGTACGCTTTAAGACATATTGCAATGCTCTGCGAAGGAGCGCATTTATCTAAAGTTGCATGTGGCTCTATGTTCGAAAATCGATTTTACTTGTGTCGTGGGTATTGGTACTCGTACTCGTTATTGTATTAAGCAGTGGGGCACGTCCAGAGAATATTCTCGCTTGCAAATAATTTGCTGTGGCAATACAGGCCATAAATATCAGAAATGCATCACTATCAAGCGTTCAACCTCTAAGACACCAAGGGGAAACGGGAACATCTAATATGCAGAAGCTACACACCAGTCTCAGAATATCATTAAAGGACCCTGACGCGAAACTGGCTGCCCCGTCCTTCTGAATCGGTATTGTACCAGCTGACCAGTCAGTGGTGTCACGTGCCCTTCCGAGGTACAAGGCAACGGTCCTTTCCCCGATTCTGGCATCCCGATAGTGGAAGGGTTGAGCGCCGAGTAACCAAGGCCACACAGCACGCAATACGGCGATGGGGATATGGTGCGGGCATATGGGCATATCTCTGGAGAGCTGGATACCGTGGTGCGTTACGATCCTGCTGAAGCGGCATTCCTGCCCCAAATAAATATAATGACTGCAGTGGTTGCAGTGGCACACCACATTCGTAGTCTTGCCCTCCTGCTACATGATGAACAGATCAGCTGCTCTCTGTGGAGCTGCCAATGCAAACCTGGCCAGGGGAGAACAATGGCTCAGACATGTTGGGACTTATTGCCCTCGGGGACTGACTTTGGCTCTAGTTCATCGTCACGGCGTGACTGCTTGGCAGGAAAGTGGATCCGTTTTGACTCGAAGGACATGCCAAATAGGATGAGCGGGATTCTTGAGATGAAGACGTTCGCTCTCTTGGCCCTTCCTTTCAGATTGGTCGCCATTGCGGAACTTCGAGGACCCGGGTTTTGTGGAAATATGGTGCATGAGCACTGCTTAAACACCACGGTGTGGGAAGGCAGCCCTGATAGCCGCAGGCTGCTGAGAAGCTCTGATGGGCCGATCACGGTTTGCTCTGGGACTGGGGCAGTGTCCATTGACTTGCAGGTCCTTGTACCTCCACGCTGCTTCTCCAGTAGCTCGGAGTTCACGTGATCAGCAGCAAATTTTTTGGGGCGCTGGGATGACCTCGCTGAGCCAGGCTCAGGCTTGGTGCTTTTCTTCCAGGTCGAGAAAGCCTTGGCCACGAGGCCGTCGATAAATTATAATCTTTCGCCGGCGAGAATATTATTTGACTGTCTGGGCTGTGGATTTAACTGTGGCCAATTTGTAAGGGTTGGCTTATTGGTGAACTGTTTTGCTGCTTCTTCCTGCCGTTTTGATACTCACACGTTGGTGGTGAGATGCTTAGTGATGCTCAGCTCGTCACTTGCCATTCGTTACGCTGTCATTTAGGTAACGTCACATATGGACTGGCACGCAGAATTCCTTTTTAGCACTATCACTTAATCAGTGTGAGTTCCACCGACCGTTATATGCTTTTCCACTCCACCCGTCTTCTCGCACCTGGCAGGTGCGCAATAAATCTGTCGTCTGTCGTTAACATATATTGTCAAATACGTACCGCAACGGTTTTTAGAGCAGTTTCTGAGTACTTATGCAGCATGCACTCACATAACTACTGGCAACACAGCGTGATGAGTAATTTGGTGCAAGACCAAACAAAAGTAAAAGAGGACTGCGATAAGAAAGGGACACCTTGAACTCATTAAGGAAATACTCTCCTAAAACAAAATGCGTGCTTGGCAAAGACAGGCATGCGGTAACCGATATTATTGGCTACTCTGGTAGCTTTTAAGTGGCCTGGAACCGACCACCACCAACACTTATCCTATAGGTTAGCTTCGCTTGTGCCGCACCAAGCATGATGGTTCGATTTGGACACAAGTGTGACACATCTCTGACTCTCGCTAAGCTGGTTCAAAGCATATTGTAGGTTTTGAGGTCTGCTTCCGACGGTTGCTTTTTAGAAGTCAAACGACAAAATCTAAGGTATTATGCAAAAAATGTGGGATACACTTCAGGCACGTACATATTTGCTCGTGTGCAATAGTGGAAATGCTCACTACACATAAACGCTGTTCGCGCTTACGAAGGATGGCAGGTACATCACTCCAATGTTGTTTTTATTTGGTGACAGCTTAATGCATGACTGGCTGCATATGACGTTGCACTTCCAACCACCACTGAGGCAAAATAGGCAAGAGTTTGCATCGTGAACAATACCTTTACGTTCACCTACGCCATCTGCGATGGTACGTCTTGGATGGCTCTGCACATGTCCAGCTGATCGAATGGCTGTCACATCAACGATATTAGACGTTATGTGATACACAACTGGAATCATCGTTCAGTGCGGCGGTTAAGCGAGTACAAAAATATGCTTGCAGACGAATCCCAGTTTTCTTATATTGTTAATTGTGCTATTTGTGGGCTAAAAACTACCCCAAACGGCGTCACGTGAGTGATGGAGAACCATTCGTAGCGCTGAATTTTGATAGATGCTCTGAGTGGCAGCGTGATGTGCAGGCCTGAAGCTTGAAATCCAAAGGTTTGTCGTCCGACAGCAAAATGTTTGTTGTCAGAACCACAGAACAGATACATTTTCGCGAGGCTTTGTAAACCCCTTTATCAACATCAAGAACGATTATGGAACCGACAGGTCATGCAAAACGTTTTAAAGTGAATCTTGATTTCTGAGAAGCCGTAGAACCTAGGCAAATGTTTGTTTGATTAGACTTATCACTGGGTAGCGGCGTTTTACTCAAATGTTTGCTGAGGAAGCATGCTGTTCCTGTCCTTGCTAATGCCATGATTTTAACAATCTTGTTCTTCGAAAGCGCCCATTCACTTCCTTTGTACCCACGAACTATTGGTCTATGTAAAAAAGTCAGCGATGCATATCGATCAGCGAGCAATAAGGT